TGAAATAAACGGTTTTTGCAAAAACATTCGTAGGATCCCAGGTGTTGCGGCACTGGTGACTGCAGGAGCCTGGCATCTGGCACTCATCCACATCAGTGCAAGAGATCTGGTCGTCTGCCAGAGTGAAGCCTCGACGACACGAGCAACGAACACGACCAAGTTCGACCTGACAGTGGTCATGGCAGCCGCCATTATCCACAGAACAAGGGTCCACCAGCTCGCACTCTCGTCCATCCACACCCACACGGTACCTGCAGAACAAGATTTAGTCCCACATCAGGAAACACTCATCCTGTTTCCTGACATGCCTTACCTAACCCAATTGGGACAACGTTTCCATCTGTGTAGAGCTTTATTAAGTCATGGCTTGATAAGCTCTGCACAGAGCTGTCACAACAAAAGTTTATTCTATATCTTATGTCTTTATACATACTTCTTTGCAATATGTCATTTCATCCAGGTTACAGGTACATTATTTACTAAACAAAAGCAATTTGTAAACATAATAGGTAGTATATAGCCTACATAGTGTCCAGGTTATAGTAAACTATACCAAAAGAACAAAGAAGCAAAAGCTTATGACGAAGTTTCGAAATGTCAGTGGACCAAAACGTTGTCATAAGCTTTTTTCTCTATGTGCAGGTTATTTGTGTAACTATACTAAATTTTCTACCCCTTAAGTGAGGGTCCCTCAATATCAGCGAGTGGTTCTTGATCTAAGGAACTAGAATAGTCCTCCCTTTCCTTGAACCTAACCTGATTGTCCTCTCAGACGCTCCATACCCTCTCATCCTTTCAACTGAGGTTCCTTGATGCTGGTGAGAGGCTCTTGATCTGGAGAACTGGATGTGATCCAGTTCCCTGAATTAAGCCTGAATACCTTCCATCTGGACTGGACAGGCACCTTAAGTCAGTACCTGACAGCCGGGTTGTGGCTCGTACGTTGGATTACATGCAGCCAGCAGTAACAGCTGGTTGATCAAGCCCTGATCTACCATGAGGCCTGGTCACAGACCGGACTGAGGGGGCATTGACCCCCGGAACTCTCTCCAGGTATACTCCAGGTATCCTCCACAGGCGCTGTATAATCCAACGGGTTTAGTGCTTCCCCATGATTCAAATTCAAAGTTTTATTCTCTATAAGGATTACAATGCTGAGTTTACAGAATTTGGTTATTGTGTGGTTTACAAGTAGTAAAATAATGATTACAGAGTGTACCACTAGAACACCTAGCATGGCTAGGCATTTCGGGCAGACTTAGTTTAATTCTTAATTTTAAAATATTACAAATTATGAGGTAAGTTGGTATTATGGCTAGTGACTAAATACTAGTTTGTGGAGTTTAGCAATGTGAATGTTTTTGTTTTGGCACAGTACATAGTTTCAGAGTATTGGAGTATCACAGGATTCATTATTTTAAGATTGTGATTAATATTTCTGTTTATGGTCAAATGGGTGAGTGAGTGTAAGTGTGAACCAGCAGGTAGTATTCGTGTAGTTAGTCGATGGGGTGTATCAGGGAGATAAGATGTTTTCTATGGTAGTTTTGAAGGTGATGAATGTGTCTGCAGTTCTAGAGTTCTCAGGTAGGGTGTTCCAGATTTTAGAGCCTTTGACATACATTGAATTTTTGTAAAGGTTTAGTTGGACACGGGGAATGTCGTAGAGATGTTTGTGTCTGGTGTTATGCCTGTGGGTTCTGTCACAACTATCAAGAAAGCGTTTTAGGTCAAGGTTGATATTGGAATTTAAGGTCCTGTAGATGTAGATTGCACAGTAGTAAGTGTGGATGTATTGAACAGGGAGTAAGTTTAGATCTATGAAGAGTGGGGGGGGGTGTTGCCAGGGATGGGATTTGGTGATTATTCTTACTGCAGCTTTTTGTTGGGTTATTACTGGCTTTAGGTGTGTTGCTGCAGTTGATCCCCAAGCACAAATAGCATAGGTGAGGTATGGATAAATAAGTGAGTGGTATAGTGTGAGAAGGACATTTTGCCGCACATAGTATCGTATCTTGGAGAGGATCCCAACCGTTTTGGATACTTTTTTGGTTATGTGTTGGATATGGGTGCTGAAATTCAGGTTGTTGTCAAGGTATAGGCCTAGGAATTTGCCCTCATTATGTCTGGTATTAGAGTGTTGTCGATCTTAATGTTAATTTGTGCATCTCCTGCTCTGCTACCAAACATAATATAGTAGGTTTTGTCAGTATTAAGCGTAAGTTTATTGGCTGTCATCCAAGTCGATATTTTAATCAGCTCCTCATTCACAATGGTGTTGAGGGTGGCAAGTTTAGGGTGAGAGATGACATAAGTCGTGTGTCAGCAAAGAGAATGGGGTTTCAGGTGTTGGGATATTTTTTGGAAGATTTTGTTGTATATGAAAAGAGCGGGGGCCCAAAAGGAAATTTCCCTGGGGAAAATTTTCCAGTTTTCAATTGGCTGTGTTTTTGTGCGTTTTTTTAAATTTGGAAAAACTTTCGGATACCTTTTAAAAGGGGTAAGTTTTTGAAAAAAGCAAGGCGGGCCTTTTTTAAAACCGTAAGGGGTCAAGTTTGTGGAGAAAGGATGTCTTTGGTCTACTGGTAAAAAGCTTTTTTTGGGTAAAAAATTTTCCAAAGTGGTTTTCCTTTTTTTTTTTCCCTTTATAATGCATACCCCTCGCCCTTAGCAATTAAATAAGGAAAGGGGGAAAGCGGGGATTATATTATCCACTACAAATTTATGATTACAAGCTTTGTTTCCGATAAAAAAACCTCTTTTTAAGGGATTTAAAATTTTATTCAAACATTTACGAAATTTAAACTCACAGCAAAAACTTTTCAAAGGCACTTCTCAGAGCCAACAAAACATTTTTATTTTAAACTAAAATATCAATCTTTAAGCAAGCATTATAAATGACTCCTGCATTACAAAAATTCCCTTGCATGCCAATAGGCCCAAATTATTACCCCTAACTAAAACCGGCAAAAGCCGTTTATACAGAGTCTATGCCTTCCGGGGTTTACACAGCCATACACAACTGTGGGCCCCAGCCCAACAAGGGGTGGGCAAGCTAATACAAACTCAGAAAAAACTATTTTTGTTTCACTAATACTTGCACGGGGAAATGAACGGGGGGAAAATTTTATAATAGCAAAATTTTCAAACCCAAATCCCTACAAAAACCTCTCCCGTGAAAAAACATTACAGAATTCCCAATAAAAACATTACCCAATTTAGTAAAAACCTGGGAAAAGTATGAAATGATGAACAAAGATAAACTTACTACTCCCCGGGTGACTTAAATAAAAAAAATCCGGGCAAGACCGGGCCCCCCAAAATTTAAATAAATTCCCAAAAAACACAATGAGTAACTGCATGTTGCTACCAACAGTAACAAAACCTACAAGATTTAAACAGGGACAAAAGGTTTTCCCTACTTGACCCATCTGGCCCAACCCATTCCCCTTTAAAATCAGGCATAAATTTTCAGATAATACCAAAAGACCACACCCTACTTTTCATAACAACTCTTGGTAAAATACCCCAAGACACTACTAAAGTCACCTTTAGACTTTACAAAGGGCAGCCTTAATAACTTCAAAAACAGCAGGGAAAAAACATTGACTGGGACACTGAGCTTGAAATCTATTTCAGTGTTTTAAAAAAATTTTTTTTTAAAAAAAAACCCCCGTACCCTTTTTAACAACACTGCCCTAAAAAAACTAAACAGATGGGCAGCTAAAGACTGAACAGTCCCTGGCTAAAAACCCACATTCTCAAATCCCTAAATAAAAACACCGATATGAAAAAAAGTACAGAATGGGGGCCCCATAACCCCGGACCAAAAAAAAACGTTACTCGCAATCCCAACCAAACCCGATAAGAAGGGGAAAAAAATTGTATTATGAAACAGAAATTTTCCAAATTACGAGGTGAATAAAAAAGACCCGGAAGATCCCATCAGAAATTTGGGAACAAAAAAGATATCACGACATAGCGAAATAAAATTAGAAAAATCAGATGAACCCCAACTCCCACCAACAGAAACAGAAAAGACTCAATGATTTCTTCTCCACTATAGGTCAAACCTTCCCAAATAATATCCCAAGCTAGTTTACCCCACCAATGATACCTCACTGGCAACTACCCCGAACACATGTTCTAGCTCCGACTAACCCATACGAAGTCTCCCTTATTATCAACGCACTGAAAAACAAGACAAAAAAGCGTCACAAGTACTATCACCAATCATTGCAACACTCTTTAACAAATCCATTGAATCTCCCCTTCCTACATTTTCTCAAAATAGCAAGGGTCACCCCCGATCCATAAAGGAGGAGCCCAAAAACAGAGTTGAAAAAACTATAGGCCAATATCCAATTTACACCCTCTCTCAAAAATCTTCGAAAAATTAATTCATAAACGAACCTCTCCTCCTAATCCCCATAAAAATCCAACCCTGCCAATTTGGATTCAGGCAAATAAAAATACTAATGATGCTATTATACACATGCTAGAACATATATACACTGCAATAGAGAAAAAAGAAGTCCATGGGGATCTTCTTGACTTACGTAAAGCTTTTGATTACAGTTGACCATGACTTGCCCCACGTAAAATTGTCACACTATGGTATTAGAGGGCACTCCCTCAACTACCTAAAGTCTTCCCTCAGCAACAGAAGCCAATATTGTACGCAATGGGGCAAGCTCTTCCGCACAACCAATTACGTTGGTGTCCCCCGGGAAGTGTCCTTGGCCCCCTTTCTTTCTCCTATACATAAATGACCCACCCAAAAGCTTCGCAATTACTCAAACCCACACTTTTTGCAGATGACACCACATACGTTTCTCTCACCCGAGCCCAGTCACGCTAGCCAAAACTGGGAAACACCGAATTACAGAAAATATCTACCTGGATGAGGGCTAAAAAAACTTACACTAAACATTGACAAAAAAAGTACTTCATTCAGTTTGGTAGCAAGCTACAGATGTACCTCTTAACATAACGATAAACGGATCACCCATCACAAAGCTAACAGAGGGAAATTCTTAGGAATCCCCCTCGATAATAGACTCAAATTTTTACACAATTTTACAACAAATTTCTAAGAAAATTTCCAAGGGCTGTAGGCATACTATCGAAGATACGGTACTATGTTCCCCAGTCAGCCCTCCTGGCCCTTTTTTCCTCTTTATTTACCCCTATCTCACCTATGGAATTTGTGCATGGGGCTCAACACAATTAACCATCTCAGACCACTAATTACCCAACAAAAGGCTGCAGTTAGAATGATAACAATTCTCACAAAAGGCAGCACACTCCACCAATATTCAAAACACTCAACCCACTCACCATACAAAACATCCATTTTATTATTCACTTATTAAAATACATAGAACACTTAACTTGTATTAACCCCCCCCTCAAAAACTTGCCAACCTCAACAGAACATGACCATAATACAAGGCACAGATCACTCTTTGATGTTCCTCGTGTCCATCTCACGCTATGCAAAAACTCAATGCACTAAAAGGCCCTAAAATCTGGAATTCATTACCTGTAAATATAAAAAAAACACTACCTGTTTTAATTCAAATCTTTTCAAAAATACTTACTCACCAAAACCAATTAAAAACGAAAATGAACCTATAAAATTTTATATCCAAATGTTACTACAATTTTATACACAAAAGTTAAACCCAACTTTTTATTTTTTTTTTAAAAACATACCTAAAAGAATACCCATTCTCTGAATGAAAACATAATGAACCTAGACCTGTCTTTTTTTAATATCATTTGATTTTAAGTTATCTGTTTACAATAATGTCTAAACACTGATTTAGCATTGCTTGTTAATTTAAGTTTAATTTTTTGCCACCCCCTAAAGCTATGATATAAGTGGGTTGGGATGCTGTCTTACCTGTATTTTTTGGGCTCTTTTGTATGCTAAAATTTTAAATAAATAAAAAATAAATAAGGATTATTTTTTAAAATTATTACTTCCCGGGATTGTAACCCTAGTAATAAGTTAAATAAAAATTTGCAAATGTGAAAAATTTGGGGATCTTTAAGAGGAACTTTCGCCACATGTGGCTTCACAATCCATACAAAGGAGAATGGTGAAGAACAGAGGGTTTGGGTAATCGTCCCCCCAGCCTTGGTGATGTGTCAGTCCAAAACTTTTCAAATGATTACCTCAAACTATTGTTCTTCACCTTCCTTCTTTTATAGACTGATGAAACCACTATGGCGAAACGTTTCCTCATTAAAGATACCCAAGTTTTGCACATGTCTAATTTATCAGATCCGGGAAGTTGCAGCAGCAATACCCAGGGTGCCCCTCAAGGGAGGTTCCTTGACGTTGGTGAGGGGCTCTTGATCTAGGGAATTGGATCTTTGCTCCACTTCCCTGAATTGAGCCTGAATATCTTCCATCCCCCCCCACATGAGCTGTATAATCCTACAGGTTTAGCGCTTCCCCTTGATGATAATGTTATAACATACCCAGGGCGACAGGAGCAGACGACCCTCCCTAAAGAATCATTGCAGACGTGGTGGCAGCCGCCGTTCCTTACACTGCAAAGTTCCTCACCTGTTTAATACAGATGCAATGTTACCCATAGGTGTAAAGTTATCACAGGTGCAATGTTACCCATAGGTGTAAAGTCATCAGTTATCTATGATGTGCTTGGTTACATTCTATATATACCAATATTTACATAGCATGTACAACCTTCAAATGCACTATTATTAATATTAGTAGTAGTAGTAGTAATAGTAACAGTAGTAGTAATAGTAGTAGTAATAGTAGTAGTAATAGTAGTAGTAATAGTAGTAATAGTAGTAATAGTAGTAACAGTAGTAGTAATAGTAGTAGTAACAGCAGTAGTAATAGTAGTAGTAACAGTAGTAGTAATAGTAGTAGTAATAGTAGTAACAGCAGTAGTAATAGTAGTAGTAATAGTAGTAGTAATAGTAGTAGTAATAGTAGTAGTAATAGTAGTTGTAATAGTAGTAGTATAGTAGTAGTAGTAGTAGTAACAGTAGTAGTATTAGTAGTAGTAGTAGTAACAGTAGTAGTATTAGTAGTAGTAGTAGTAACAGTAGTAGTAGTAGTATAGTAGTAGTAGTAACAGTAGTAGTAGTAGTAATAGTAGTAATGGTAGTAATAGTAATAGTAGTAGTAATAGTAATTAATATTTTGTATGTAAACCATACATTGTAAGCTTTGCAAGGAAATAAACATTTATTATATATTATTAAACCATACCCCCGGCCGGGATTGAACCCGCGGTCATAGAGTCAAAAAATCCATTGTAATATGATTAAAACCCGCTCCCGGGGAAGCAAAAATAATCTTGTGTGATCCGAAGGGGAGAGTAGCTCCAATTCCTTGGATCGAGAGTTCTTCACTGTCATACAGACATCCCCTTGAAAGTCTAATCTAGAGATTTTTCGACTTTTTGTCCTACTTTTAAATCTCTTTCAGGCTCTTTATCCACTTGATTTGTAGATTATAAACATGTCAATCATTGATTAGTAGATCATAAACTTGTTGGTAATATAAACCATTGATAATCAAAAGAAGAAGCTACGTGTTCCCTAGTTACTACAGTGTTGATGGTGAAATCTTCCTGCTACACTGTGTGTGTGTTAGTGACTCCAGACACAAGTGGTGGTGCAGGTGAACTCACCTATGCAGGTGCGTCCATCGGACAGGAGGCGGTGACCACGACTACAGCCACACTGATATGATCCCTCTGTGTTGACACACTCGTGGGAACACCCACCATTGTGGTAGTCACACTCGTCCACGTCTGTGGGTGTAACATGGTCTTCATCACAAATGAACTGGAGAGGACACAGAATAACGTTTCAGTCTGTTCTGGGTCAGTATCAAGTCACGATAATGATACAGGACAAATGGAAGCGTCTAATTTCATCTTTGATTTAGGGGTTAGTTGAATTAAATAGAGAAGAAATGTCGACAGGGCTCGTCTTTACTGTTTCCTTCCCTGGGACTTTTATTCCACCGATGTGGCCCCCACTGAAGTGTTTCTCTGTAGGGTTTCCTTGCACCCTCATCTACCAGGCAGCTAATCTGACGATGGTTCGGGATGGGTGTCTCAGCCTCTAGGACTCAAAATCTCCTTTACCCTCTTTTTTTTGGGACAAACCTTACTATTCCTTTTATCCATCCCAGATATATACACCCCTAGCCATTCCATTTTGTTCCATCCTCTTAAATATCCAAACTACCTCAATAACCACTCCTCAACCCTATAAATAATATTTTTTGGAACTCCCACATTGACTTCTAACCTCTAAGCTCTGAATTCTCTGCAGATATTCATACCACACATTGGTCTCAAACACATCTCCACTGCCTACAGCCTCCTCTTTGCTGCAGTATTCAAAATACATGCCTCGCACCCATACAACAGTGTTGATACCACTATACTCTTCTACAGTCCTCTTTGTTGCCTCCATAAAGTTCTTTGTCTCCACAGATGCCTCGGTGCACCACTCACGTTATTTTTTTTTTATCAGTTTTATGGTTCGCTCATCTTTCATAGACCCCTCCACCGATAAATTCATTCTTAAAATCTTCAACATATTTACTTCCCCCATATTCCCTCCCTCCAATCTGATATCCAGTCTTTCATTGCCTAGTATTTTTTTGTTATTCTCGTCACCTTGCTCTTTCCTATATTCAGTTTTAATTTCCTTCTTTTACATACCCTCTGGGGTTTCTCGTGAGTGGCTGATGAACCAACAATTAGTACAACAGTGAGGTCCCGACTGCTGGTTCACTGGTCGGGAGGGCAGCCTTTATGAGCGTGTGACATATGTCCAATAAATTGTAATATACTCTTCGCATGTTACACACTAACAAACTGCGGTCATAACTCTGTATATATCTCATGTACTTATACTCTTCTTTAAAAAAAGTCATACCTACTGTGCCCTCTACAACAGTTTCTCTTACTTAAGCGGTTAGGTTCTCCCCAACAATTAATTTCTCACTTGGCTCAAAACTTCCCAACATTTCTTCTAACACCTCATTAAAATCTCTCTTCTCCTTCATAACACTCTTCTCTTTCCCAGGTGCATAAAACCTTAGCCCACTTCTCACATTCACCTTGATTCTAATCCTTATATATATATATATATATATATATATGTATTATATATATATATATATATATATATATATATGTATATATATATATATTATATATATATATATATATATATATATATATATATATTATATATATATATATATATATATATATATATATTATATATTATATAAATTTAAACATCATTCTCTCCCCTCTTCTCCTTCCATAGTTAATATATAATGATTATTGTTTCTATTTAGGTAAGCTTTCAGTTACATTGATTCTCCTAACTCTTTAGCATTTCTTTTTCAAAATCAATTCCCCTTTCTTCTCTTTCAACATCAGTTCATTAATCCTATTCAATTTCCTTCATTTTTTATTAATTGATATCCAGAGAAGGTTTACCGCCCTTGTTCCCAGCTGACTCACATGTGTCTTATCAACACCTCAGTGTGAAGCCTAAGAGAGAAATTTACCTATTTTATGCTTAAAGAGCCTTTTTGCGAAAGAATTCGGAAAACCATGCAAGTCTCAAAGGTAACTTAAGCATGACCGTACAGAATGAAAGAAGCAAGCATGTTCCTAGTAAGTTAGGAAAGGTTGTCGGATTCCAGTAACTGAACTCCAGCAATAGCTGAACATTAAACCAGAAACAAATTCAGAAACACTCATACAACAGTGGCAGTTGTCAGAAAGGACCCCAGTGGAATTAAAGGCCCCCCAATGGAAATAAGTCACTGACTTTTTTGGGTTATCCCAGGTTCTCTACACATATACTGCTATGTATGATAATCTATGTAACGTATTTGTTATACCTGAATAAACTTACTAAATATTAACTAGTAGCTACAGCAGTAGCAGCAGCAGCAACAGCAGGGCAGGAAAAATACACCTTACCATGACACGAGCGGTTGTCAGACATGAGTCTGTATCCAGGACTGCAACAGCACATGTAAGCACCGTGGGTTTCTTGCAGTTCTGATCACAGCCGCCGTTGTTCTGACGACACTCGTCCACGTCTGTCAACACGAGGAATGACACATTTTTGGAAAATTGTCTGAGCACTCGGGAGTCAGGAATAAACACGAAAATTCTTTGTCCTACAGTTCACACAAATGTTTAAATGAACTTACAAGAGCATCAGTGTAAGCTCTCACTCTGATTCTGGAGTTTATTTTATTTACATCTGAGTGGAGGTATTGAACCAATCTCCAACCTACACTGGCACCACCAGGAATCTGCGTTACATTTCAACGTTTCCTGGTTAGTGCAATTACCAGACGTAAATTTCGACATGAAATTTTCATGTGATTGTGAGGTTAGATAATAATACTTTACTTACACAATACATGTACATGGTATACGATGTGAATATCAGAAAATGGTATACAATACTGACAGGAATAAAGTTGCCTATGTGTCTTACCTACCAACTTGTCGGTATTGTATACCATTTTGATATTACTCTGCCCAGACACTGCAACACAATGGCATCTTGGTACAAAAGAGAAAACACCTTGGACAACTTTTTCAAGTGAGAATGGTTTGATCTCAGAGGAACGTGATCTCTCAGTGGCTACATTCTCACTACTACTACTCTGCACCTCTCCTTCCCACAGTATTTAAGTCTCAACACTGTCGCTTGATCTTCAGACAGTTCCAAACTTTGGAACAGAACTTCTCCAGGCTGAGGGACTGACAACCTCAAATCTACGACTTCAAGGGTGATGGACTGATTACATCGTCTTCACATCTCCACTTTCTGTACTCGACTGAAGAAGCCTACTGTGTAGGCGAAACGTTTCGGAATAAAGTTGCCTAAATGTTGCCTTTTTGTCTTACCTACCAACATGGTATACGATATATTTTATTTACATGTAACCAAACTTAAATTGTAAGTTCACAGAAACAGTCAGAAGCACAGAATGGCGTCTACTTAGAGCTTCTATCATGAATGTAATAATAATAATAATAATAATAATAATAATAATAATAATAATAAGAATAATAATAATAATAATAATGTTGAAGACAGAGTAATAAAAACAATATGGTAGATGGAGGATAGGTTGCAGTGGAAGTTAACATGACGACGACGCCCGGGGAGAGAGAAAAAAATTTAAAGTAAAATTCGTCAGGAAACGGGACAAGTGTTTCTTGATGCGGGTCGTAGCCATATGATGACCAGCCACTGGTACTCTTGGTCATCTAACCGAGGCCTTCCGCTGGCTTATCCGCCCACCTCTTTATAAGTTAATTTTTAGTGCATTATGATGGTGGTGGTGGTGTTTTGTGTCAGGAAACAGAACAAACGAGTGTCACTAGACAAGGGTCTTTGTACAATGGTGGTGGTGATGTTTCGTCCGTCGGGGAAACTAAACAAGAATCTTCTGTCACATGTCTGTATCAAATTTTTAATTCACCAGGAGACAAGAGTTGATGTTGGTGCTAGTGAGGATAGGAATAAGACAGGTAAACATGCACCAACAGGGAATACAGTCACAGAAACCCAAGACAAACGGAAACCAAGCCTGTGCACATACTATGCATTGGGATCTGCAGGGATGGGAAAATTTTGGGAAAACAGATGGGAAAGTGCAACTATACCAACCCCAGAAAATGCCCTGCCCATATGACAACAGGAAAATGCAAACTCCCTTCCTGTAAGCTTTTTCACCCTGGGAAAAGTGCCCCTCTTCAGTACAGGAAAGATTGTGCTATAACTTAAATTGCCAGGCACACCATCTAAAGGGGACAAAAAGATACAAAACATCCGGCCAGGGGAGAAAACCGGGGTAGCCACAGCCACTAAAAAAGGGAGAGGGTTTTTTTAGTGCCAGGAAGGAAAAAAAACTGGCAGGAAATGGCGGAAATCGTACACCAAATCCAGTCATTCCTTTTAGTGGAACCACAGTCGATGGCCTCCACTCCAAACCAACAGATACAGATACTAATGCCGGAAAAAAAATCCCCCCCCAGTACCAACAATACCACCAGTCCGATGACATTCCTCTTTGAAAATGTACAGGATCTAAGCCAGCAACAACAGCAAAATACCTTTCATCCGTGGACTGCTTGCAGAGGCAAATGCAATGTTCGCGGCTTTCACAGAGACCCACATAAAGGATCACTTGGACAACGAAATATGGATCCTAGGTTACAACCTATACAGATGCGACAGAATGAACAGGCAGAAGGGGGGGGGGGGTTGGCCTGTACATCGCAGAGTCACTTGTTTGCACAGAACTGCTTAATGCCTCAAATGATGTAGTGGAAGTTTTAGCAGTAAAGATCGAGAACCAAAACCTAGTCATTGTGGTAGTCTACAAGCAGGGCCGGATTAAGAAGTCTCCGAGGCCCTGGCTATTCAGATTGGCGGGGCCCCTTTGAGTTACGGGTAAGCGAAGCGCCCCCTTCCAGCTTGGGGGGGGGGGGGTCGGTGTGAGCCTGTTTAAGGTCTAATTAAATACATTCTGGCTATTTAGATTAAATTTAATAGGGAAAGTACATCAAGACAACCGAAACCATTTACCAACAGCCATTATAACTATCTTGTTAAATTATGCATTTTAAAGAGAATAAACTCAAGACAGCATAGTATTACTAGATTAGGCTATTAAAGTAGTGACATCATGTACCTTTATATTCAGCATAACCACTACAGCACTATTATTCCCTTTATAAATCATGACCATTATTGTTATCATTGCATCATGCATAAGGACTATCAAATCATATAAACTCAAGAAAGTAAAGAATTGTTTATATTCACAGGCACTTCTTAAATAAACTTTTTTCTGGATTTCATATTGGCAAAATCATAAATTTATATTCTGAAAATCAATATTTCTTTTTAGATCAGACTCAATGGTCAACAAGGCTAGGTTACACAATTTGACTTGGCTCATTGTTGAACGGAGCTGGTTTTTCACTCTTTTCAAAACAGAAAATGAACGTTCTCCTTCACAGTTAGTAGCTGGAAGTGTTAGGTAAAGGCGATACACAATGTCAACATTAGGGAAGGTTTCTGAGATACTTGCATTTTTTAAAAATGTTTCAAAGCAGCTGAGGGCGCACATTTTTCAGGTGGAGCTTTAATCTGATTATATACCCGAAAAATTGAACTATTTCTTCAACAAATGTGTCCTGAACATCTGCTGAAAGGTGTTTGTTGAACTTTATTGCAGCTTCTCTCAATTCTGCATCTGGCATAGTGTAATTTTGAACAGAAATCCAAACTTGTCATTGAGATTCGGGTAGATTTCTTTTCTTTTCACCAATTCTGTGATCAGTGAATCCAGAATGACGATGTATGTAGCTGTCTTACATTTCTGCCTTGGTAGCAAACACAATTTCATTGTCTGGCTCTTCAAAATTGCGTTTCCTTTTCCCTTGACCGCTGATGATCAGCCCGTAACTGTAGTCTTTCCCAGCAGTTTAGCTTTCTCTTCAAACATTTAAAAAAGCTTTACCTTTGCGAAGTGAGCTTACAAATTCCACTAACCCTGCATAGAGGGTTAGCAAAATAGCCATTTCAATTTCAATTTTTAAAAGTGTCTTGTTCATGGCATTTAACCTTTCCCAGTTACCAGTCCCAAAGCAACACAGAGTAAGGCCAATTCAAAATCTTCCAATTTTGATGCTAAGCTGGCTGCTTCGCTTCTTGTAGTTGCTGTCTGGTCTTCATCCTCTGCTATTTAAAAAACAAAGCAGAACGTATTTCAGCAAAGCTGTCTTTCGAACATGTGTTGCATCATGCTGCGCTAACCACCTTGTTGTTGATAATGATTTGATGACTCTCATGAATGGTTGACTTGAGTATACTCCACCGATGCGTTGAAGCAGAGAAAAAATTAAAGAGTGCTTGAAAAAAGTCCAAAAAATGAAACTGCAGCGACACAACACTCCGCAGCACATGACCCAAATTAAGAAAATGTGCTGAGCAGGGCACATATTCAGCAATGGGTTGATTTGCTTGATACGGGCTTGCAATCCATTATTTTTTACCCGACATGTTACTTGAAATTGTCGTAGCTCTGGCCACGGCAATCCAAATAGAGAGATCATGTTCAAGCAGAGTATCCAGTACTAATTTATCATTGTTTTCCATCATGGCCTGAAAGAGGAATGAATTTTATAAAGCGCTCTACAGGATACCACGGAGTCGACAAAGCGAAACAATGAATGTCAATTGATCTGTATGTAAAATATCTGGTGTTGAATTACACTTATTGCAAAGTATTTTGCAGTTTTCACAGCTGCTATGATGTTATTGAGGCCCTTCTTAGTCATCAGTTCAATAAAATTCATTGCATATAGTAGGTGACATGAAAGATACAGTGCCTTTTCCCTGCATTCCCATCCGTGACACATGATTTGTAAGAAGGGAAATCGAATTGTGCTAACAGTTCTATGATCCCTAGGAAACTGCCATTGTTTTCCGAACCAAAAAAACCTCATTTTCTCCACGGAAAAGCAAGTCCTCTTAGAACTAAAAATTTTACAACAGCAACAACTCTTTCTAGAACTTTTCTCCAATAAGTGCGCTTTTTTCAGTTTGATTTTCCAAATGAGAATCCAAAAAAAGCCTTTTTTCTGTGCACGAAATACACTGGCTAAAATGCAGCTCTGTGAGTGGTCTGTTTTCAGTTCCTCGAAACGCGTTTGGGTTTTTCCAGTCATTGAACCCCTGTGTGAAGGATTTTCTTTGGTTTTGAAAATAGCTTGCATGCTGAACAGTACACTTTTCCTGAGCTTTCAGAGTTACCACCATGATCTTTTCACGTTTCTGAATTTGCAAGCTTCCTATAAAACACAGATGACTTTAAACAACGACGACTTCCATCATCATAAATCCTTGTGATTTTCTAAAGTCAATGTTCAGAGTTTTTACTGAAGTTTTCTGCAATGAAAGCATTTTCGTAGAGAATCTGGGATTGCATTTGGCCATGAGGCAGGATCTTTTTAAGACAAATCCTGTGGATGAAATGTCCGTTGAGACATT